TGGGGAGGCAAGTCATGTTATGACAGCATTTGAGATAGGTCTGTTTTCAGCTTATTCAGCAGGTCCAGTGATCAGATTTCATGAGTTCAGCTGGAGCTGAACTACATATTAATACAGAGAGGGAGGTGAAATTGAGAACATTTACTCAATTCTAGTATTCCATTCATAAATCCAGCTTCAGACTTTCTTCTGCAGGAGAATTTGGATGGCTCTCCGCTCAGATGAGTGGTCCTGGATCATCTGACCTCACCCAAAGACAGTTGGCTTATCCTAGAAGAGAAGACTGGATTCTGTGCTGTTGCCCAAGGGACAATCTTAAGTTGTCACAAATTGCTTACAGTGGGACAACACAAGAGCACATGCACGGCACCATAAACCATCAGTGGGTTGTACTGATTACGGTGCATGGAGTGTTCCTTTCCATTTGCGCTGATCCATAAACTAAAAATACTGTGACGTAGTGTTTAAATATTTACAGAATCTGTCAGGAGAGATTGCAGTTACAATATATATTATAAGGTCAGTAAGGTGGGCTGCAGATTCAATTTGTCAGCAAAGTCAATACCCAAGTTAACTCAATAGACTTTTGAAACACCTTTCTCCCAAATTATACATTTGCTAGCAAGATTGCTAGAACAGTGTAGACCATATCTTAAGCTCTTTCAAAACGTGCATTTGTGAAAATACATGTACAGGTATTGAATCAACTCCATAATTAATTCAAATAGAGTTTAAAATTGTAGGACAAGATTGCTAAAGTGGAACCTTAGATATGAATTTCTAATTAATCTATTTTGATCTAGAATTTGAAATTTATCTTCACTTAGGAACAATTCATGGTTTAGAAAATAACCCTGCAATGGTGAATTCTAAAGGGCAGTATTGTTTGAAGATCTAAAAATGACAGAGTGGTATGGCAGTCACACATGATAAGCAATTATATAGCTTCGTACAACTGCTCCCACAGCATAAATACGGATTCGAACATTGGCCGGCCCTCTGCTCAGAGAGAGAGCATATATTCTGTGTTCTTCTACAAACCAAGTGCATGCTTTACACATCTGTGTAACAGGTTTCATATCGCACTGAAAACATGAAACCTTGGAGAAACTCGAGGAATTGAAGAGTGGCCTGTTACTACTAGGAAGAGGATGAAGACAATTTGTACATCTCCTTGTGAGAAGCGCTGAACTATGCTATAATCTACAGCCATGTTGCTTATGCCTCTTACCAGCGGCCATTTTGGACAGAAAGCCCTGGATGTTTCCTGTTGCAAAGCCTATGTTGATCCTCGATGTCCCAACACCTGAGCAAACATGGCAGGAGGTACATTTTCCACCTGATTCTAAAGGTTATACAAGAGATTCCTTGTCACGCTACACGCAATGACAAACTGAACCAGACATTTTTACGTTAAGAGCCAACTGTAGAAGGAATGTACTGATCCTTTAAGCCAATGGGGAACACTCTCCCAAGGTTAACAAGGAGATCCCGCTCTAGATGCAAAGCTGGAGCAGCTCTGATCTCTTAGGACCAGTTTGAATCCAGGCTCCAATGCCTGCGATACCTATGTTTCTCCTTGATTGGACTTTACAAAGACCACAATGCATAACCCGAACTATTTGCTTTCCTTTCTGGGAGAGGACACCTATCATTGTATACTTGGACATTCTCATATGATTCTCTATAACCAGGCAATTAGAAGCAATGCAAGAATACTTTTCTCCAAATATATAAATTTGAGGAGCTCTTCAGGGTTTTTTCCATCCAAAGGGAAATCATTTACCAAATTATTGGATTGGTTGCACAGTTGTCACAACCAGAAACCAGACAAACTTCATCCACATACCCTGCAGTTTATCCTCCTTTACCAACATTCAGTGTGCACTCTGGAATGCCCATTCAATCTGTAGCAATATTAAAACAGCTATACACGACCTTGTCAGCTCTAACTCACTTACGATATTGGCACTCACTGAGACCTAGCTATCCCCCTCTGATAGCGCTACACCTGCCTCTTTCGGTGGAATACAATTCTCCACATTCCCAGACCAAACAACTGTAAAGGAGGTGGTGTAGGCATCCTTCTCTCCCCCTCAATGTACCTTTGAACCTATCCT